AATGAATATATTTAATGCTTCTGCAATCCATTGTGTAATTATGTTAAGTACCAGGAGACCTAAAATTGCACTTTTTATAGGCAGCTTGTTACTTTCCCATTAATTAAAATCAATACTGCAACCCAACTTGTTTTCTTGTTTCTCTGTCACTTTGTTAAACATGGCTAACTGATAGTTGGGCAGCTCCTTTCAAGGAGTGTGGCAGCGGTTTGTGTGGCGTGCATTGTGCAGGCACTTGCATGATGTGCAGGCATTTGCATGATATGCAGACAGGAACCAGATAAGTAGTTCAGCTATGTCTTCCAAAACCATGTTTTGCTAGGCAAAGGTGCTAGCACTGTATGATTATGTGAAGAGAACTGAAGATCATTTCTTCAGTATGCAGCATTTTCTGTTTAGGCAACATGGAGATAATTTGGTAGAATTATGGTAGCAGCAAACTTGTAAGTTGCAGTTGTCAGTATGTCAAAGGAAGGGGATTCTAAAAATGTTTAAGGTTGCTGGACTGTTTCTTTCTTTTACTTTAATGTTGGTTTTCTTAGTTTCAGAAGAAAAGGAGGATGAAGAAGAAACAGAAGATGGTGGTTTGGATGACTGGGAAGCTATGGTTAGTGATGAAGATGGAGAGAAAGGTGGGCATGTAAATAACAAATGGATGCTTTCTCCGATTAAGAGGCTTCTTCGGGCTGATAAGTCTCTTGTTTCTATAGAAAACAATACTGTTTTTAGATTGTCTTCCTGCCTCATTAGGTAAATTGTGAGGCAAGTGTGATGATAGAGATACAAAATCCTCTTCTCAAAGGCAGAGCTTTCAGAAACCACACAAATACTGCTCAAGTTCCTTCAGAACTACATGAAATATGTGTAGCCACAACATAAATCAGTTGGAATTGTTTTGTATGTTTTTATGGGAGTAAAAATCCCCTCCTCTTAATTTGTGCCTAAACCACTTCTGGGAGTTTAAGAAAATCTTTTACCTGGTACTGTATTTCTCTAGTAACTATTCCAAAGCCGTAACAGTTTTACCACACAAATTTGGCAACATCTAGGAGATTACCTTTGAGACAACTTCTCAAAGAACTGGGGAACTAAGATGGTGCTAAGGTTAGTGTGCATGCATTATAGTATGTTCTCAATACCTCCTCTCATTGCTGCTTTGAGAGGCAGGTGGGAAAGAAAGGGAAGAGTTCTCAGAACATTCATATTCCTGCACTTCTATGCCAAAGCCAGTGTTCTGCCTGCAGCCAACAGCAGTGTTTCTAGGGAAGTTAAAGCTGTGCAAGAATGCAGAGATAACTTCAGGTGGTTTCTTCCAGTGCTGGAGAAAACTGTATTTTGAGTCTTCCCAAACAGGAGTTGACTACTGTTCTGAGCATTTCCATGGTGGGTCTTCACTATTTAAGATCTAAGACTATTCATCAAGCATTTCTTGACTTTGCTCAGCCCTGTGCTTACAGCACCTGTGTTTTCAAATGTAATACTTTATATACATATATGTAACTGGTAGGGATTTTCTTTCAGCACAGACATGTTCCTCTGGTGCTGGACTGTTCTACTTTGCTTACTAGGGAAGTCCCACTTCTGGCTGCCTGGTTTGGAAGGATCTGCCAATGTGATCCAGGAAAAGGGCCTTCCTGGGAATTATACTTAGCATATTACCAAGTTGATGGACTTTCAGCATAGCAAGGAAACGTAACTAATCCCTAAGAGGAGTGAGCCTCCTAGTAGTTCTCTAAGGAAGAGAATGCATGGTCTAAAGTCTTCATTAGATTGTCTTCTGATTTTGCCAGTATGATAAATGGGAAGCTTTCATAGAAAGATAATTACTTTTTTGTTAGTTCTTTTTGTGTGTTCATGGAAGGATTCCCCTGAAAATATTTCTTCTCTGAACAGTCTAGGAAAACCTTAAGATGAGATTTTTTTCAAGATGTAGAAAAGACCATTTATTCTGATTGTTACTACTGCTTATGTGTGCATTCCTGATAAGTAATACACAGAATCCATATTTAGTTGAATTTGGAGTATTTTGGCATTTAAAGGTGTTAGTGCATTCATTCCTTTATCAAGTGCACACAGTTCTAAAGAAAGTCACTTCATCTCCCTGTTTGCAAACGATGTCCAGTGCGGGTGTGCTGACAATGTCATTCCTCTCCCCACCACAAACTCGCTGCTTGCACAGATTCTAAACGCAAGTAGCAAGCTCTGAACATGACACACTATTTTTTATATTGAAAGTTGAAAAATGATCTTGGCTAGCACTTCTTGAGTGGAACCTGCTCTCAGTCCTCACTCTTCTGTAGTAGTTTCTGGGTTTATTTTTTTTGTGCCCTCTCCCCTACGAGGGTGAACTTAATAAAGCATTTTTAGTTAAGAATTTGGTTTTTTCCTTTGACAGAGAGCAAACCTGTCCACATTGAAGTCAAAGAACAAAATGAAGTGGATGAGGAAGAGGAGGAGGAAGAAGATGAGGAGGATGAGGAAGAAGAGAGTGAAGAATCTGAAGATAGTGAAGGGAGTGAAGATGAGGATGAAAAGACGTCAGATGAGAGAGAGGCAGACTCCCAAGCTATTGGAAAACAATCTGTGGAAAAAAAGCTCAGCAAGGAAATTAGTTCTGATTCTGAGTATGACTATAGTGATAGCTGTTGCTGCAATCCGAGTGAAGAGCGTGCTTATGACAAAGCCAAACGGAGAATTGAGGTATGAAGATACAGATTTACTTGAACAGCTGGACTCTTGTTGTTGTATAAGAAACAATTTAATCTTCAGTTCATTGAAAAGCCTTTTAACTGTATTTGTCAAAATGATGGCTGTGTCATGACTAATATTTAAGTAGGTCTAGAACTTGGGTTAATGAATTAAAAATACTTGGTTTTGCCTGAAGATGAAGTAATTGGTTTTAGACAACTTGATCACAAAAAATGTGCTCCTTGGTGGTGTTTCCCTCCACCTTTCCCTCTCTGGAGAAAGAGGCTTTTAGCCTTTACACATAGATGTTTCAGAGCTTTAAATTAGGTACTTGTAAATTGTTCAGTGTTTTTGTGGCTGCTCCTGTCCTCGGTTTCCTGACCTGAGATGCTGCTTCAGAAAGCACCATGCATAAAGCTACGTGTTGGTGGATATACCAGCTTAGCCTACTAGGCTGTAACCAAACCCAGCCAAACGAAAACTTAACTGTTAGTTGTAAATTTTTGATTTACTGAAAGAGGGGTGATGGACCTTGAATTGCCTTGAATGTTTAATGCCCACAGTTAACCCTATTTTATGCGCGTATGCAATCAAGTCGAGAGGTGAGGTGAGCTGTGGGGTTTGGTTTATACTTACCCATTTTTACGTGTCTCTTTCATAGAAACGACGAGCTGAAAACAGCAAAAACATGAACACTGAAAAGCTCCGAGCACCAGTTATTTGTGTCCTGGGGCATGTAGACACAGGCAAGACTAAAATTTTAGATAAGGTAAGATGTGGAATGTGAAGGCACTGCCTGTGCATTTGTCTTATGCATGTGTTTATTGTGATTGAAAATAGAGATAACTAGCGTGTACTCAGAGATTAGTTTAGCCTCTTACATGTAAGTGTTTCTGGTCCTTTTCTTGTCTGTAGCTCCGCCATACTCATGTGCAGGACAGTGAAGCTGGTGGTATCACTCAGCAGATCGGTGCGACGAATGTTCCCCTGGAGGCTATTAATGAGCAAACCAAGATGGTGAAAAACGTAAGTTGTAGCACATTAAAGACTTTTTGGTGGTGGGTTTTGCATTTTTTAAAATATGAAATGCAAACTAGTTAAGGCCTTGTGAGACTTCCTGACATGGGCAGATGCGCTTTTACCTCATCCTTAATATCAGGGTCGATTGTTTCTTTTTAATTCCTGCTTCCTCCCCCAAATGGGGGGTTGTCTCATTTTCCATTTTAGTTGATAGCATTTGGTTTCAGTTGATGAATTGCCATTTCTTCAGGAAAATACCCAAATGCTGCTTACCCTGTTCCGGACAGTACGTGTATGTACACAGGCTGCTGCTTTGTCAATGTTTTGATTGTAAATTGAGACTTTGGGAACTGAGTATGTTTTCCTGTTTAAAACTTACCTTTATACTGCGTGTGCTGAAACTGGGCCGGTTGCTGGGTGATGTATTCTGTTGTGTAACAGAAACAGTAACTGTTCTGTATTGCTTGTTTTGGGTACTGTATCTCATTTTGTCTGCAGCAGTAACTGAAAAACCTTGGTAGTGATGGCTTTTACCAACGTTTTTCTTCCATTTATTAAAAATGTAAAGTGGGCAGAGAGGAGGAAATCTTCCAAGATAAGGATGACAAATCCCACTAGTCAGAACTATTTTTTCCTCTCTAGGCTGCCTTGTCTTACAAACTTCAGCTGAGTTTATGGCTGCTTGATACCATGGGGAGCACGCTGCATCATTTTATTTAATTTTTTTATAGAGAAATGAGCTTTGACTGATCTGGCTTATGGAGGGTGCTGGCCTTTCTTAAGTATATGTCTGTGTTTTTGGAGTGAAGGCTGTCAGTAACGCTGCCAGCTCTTAGTTAGTTTTATTATTTTTTCTTGTGTAATCTTTACAAGATGACTAATATTGTGAAATGTTAGTTTGACAGAGAGAACATAAAAATTCCAGGCATGCTGATAATCGACACTCCAGGACATGAGTCTTTCAGGTAATGTTTCCTTATAGTATAGTGCTTCCCAGAAGTAACGGCTAAAGCGTCTGGGTATATTTTACACAAAGTGCTAGGTCTTTGCCTGATCCATTTGCCTTCTTCCTTGAAAAAACCCAGACAACCTGAAGTAGAGGAATAAATGGATTTGCTTAGTTTGCATCTGCTTTTTGTATCTGGTTAATTGCTGGCTTTTTAGATCTGGTTAATTTTCTGTCTTCATGCCAGCTGAGCCATGAATATCTGAAAAAGCATGTAAGTAACATTTTTCTTAATAGTTAGTGTAAGAGGAAAGACAGAAGCAGGAAGCTGGAGAAGAAAAGGCGAGGGTTTCAGGTAACCCAGGTACTCTGCTATGCAAACTTCTGTTGTAGCCTCCAGATCATAGTGTCCCAGTTAAGGCAACGGGGTTCAGAAGACTGGCAGTTACCACTTGCACAAGTTAGCTCACTCTTAGCAGAGCTCATATGCTGCCTAGGAACACCAGTGCGTGCAGGCAAGCTGCTAAATCAACTAAGCGTAAAACGTGATATGCATAACTGTACTCACTGAGGTAGTGCTCAGATGAAACATCCAAACTGAAGGATTAAGACTTTGATGTGACGTTCAAGCCTCTGCAAGCATTAAAAGGCCATGCCTTGGGCATTCAGTAACGTTCTGATCGGTTCCTTGGCATCAAACCACTCACGGCTCTTCATCTTCTAATTGGGTTTTGTTTGGCACCAAAGATGTCTAATCTTGGTGTTACATAAAACTGTGTAATAAACAGCCTTGTTCAGATTTTGCACTCCTGTTTTTCTCTGTAACTGTCTCAACTCTCAAAAAAAATCAGAACAAGTCTTAACTTGTAAGAAGATACTATAGTATGAAAAATCTTGGAGGAACAATAGTTTCCTATTTTTGATTATAAATAATATATTCTGTTAAATGGAATTTATAAAGTGCAATTTGAATATCTTTATAGAGTTTACATTTTTGAGGGAGAAATTATTTGATCAGCTTTAGCATTTTGTTGCTCAGTGTGTTTGTTGTATTTGGTGTTGCTGCATGACTGATTTGTGTCTTGTTTTCTTTTTTAATGGCACAGCAACCTAAGAAATAGAGGAAGTTCACTTTGTGACATTGCTATACTTGTAGTTGACATCATGCATGGTTTGGAGCCACAGACAATTGAATCAATAAATCTGTTGAAATCAAAGAAATGTCCCTTTATAGTAGCTCTCAACAAGGTAAGATAGCTTTTTACTCTAGCAGTGTGCTTTTCTACTCAGGGTGCATTTGGCATCTGACAGTTTTGTTTCTTTCTGTGAACTTGAATTGCTTGTGTAGAGTCTGAAGCAGTGGCTATTCAATCCTCTGTTACATTTTTCATGCCCTTGATACTCTCATGGCTTTATGGGAGCTTTGCAGAACAATCTATTATAGCTCTTCTCTGAGTCCTTATTGATAACTTTCTTCACTTCTGTATATGAAGTGCTTCTGGAAGTTATACTTCAGTTGTGGTTTTTGTTTTTGCACCCACTTCTATGGGTTTCTGTGCGTTTTCTGATGAAATTAAAAGTATAGAACTTAGAGAAGGGGTATTCATGTGCAGTGTAAAAATTGCAGTGTTCTTTAAAAAATGAAATGAGCATTAAGATTGAAGGTGGTTGGAACTGAGGAGGCCATTATCTCATGGCTGAAAACAGCTGCTTTAAAAAATAAACCCCAACTATTAAATGGAGAGGTATTAAAGCCTGTACTAAGCCTGAGATTAAATAGCCAAAAGTTCTTGCATTTCAGGTTATAGTTCTATTATTCGACCAGGTTATAATCCATTTTCTAAAGATGTAGTTTTGATTTGTGCAGCAAATATAGTAGTTTCTTGGACTATGTCCTTCCTGCTTTAAAACCTTGCTTACGAAGTATTTCTGAAGTATGCATTTGTGTCTTTTGAACAACCTGCCTGTGATCCCTTCTCTGTAGCAACTTGGGAAGGGGTCCAAATTCCAGAAAGTTTAAAAAAACCCAGAAAGTTTTAATTCTTTATAAAACTAATAGTCTCTTCTCAGTAAAAAAAAAACCCACCTTTTTATGTATGTAAAGCTCTTTGTGGGTCTCTTCCTTCTGAATGTTTTACCTCAAAACTTGATGCAATTAATGTGTATGAACTGTTCTCATATGAACGTATATTACTTTAGCTTCGATTTTTAAAACTTGAAGCAGTATTGCTATCATGAAATGCTGTTTGACATTGGGTAAATACATGGACAGAGATAAACATAGCAGCTAAAAGCAAATAAAAAGTTTTCACTTGATTACTGGGGTAAACAGCTGGCTGGCTGTGTTGGCTGGTGAGGTATTTCTCACAGACGATGCTGCATAAGCATAAAGATGCCCTTTAAACTGTGTGAGATGACATATTGCTGTATTTTCAAGATTGATAGGTTATATGACTGGAAAAAAAGTCCAGACACAGATGTAGCCATCACCTTAAAGAAGCAGAAAAAGAATACGAAAGATGAATTTGAAGAGCGTGCAAAAGCGATCATAGTGGAGTTTGCCAAACAGGTGGGCTGGAATATTTGAGGTTCTTTGGTTAACAAAAGTGATAGAAAGGGTGGTGTGCTGTGGGTGGGTGGAGTTTTCTTTGGGGTTTGTTTTGGGGTTTTTATCTTCCCTTTCCGCACAACAGTTCAGAACATCAAGAGAACTGTTTCATCTCTTCTGACACATTGGTGTTTACCTCTCATGAACTGAAATTTGCTGCTGTTTAAATGAATCTCTAACTGCTCTGTCCTTCAGAGTGCTACTTTGGAGAAAAAGTAGCAGCTAATTGCTGTGCATGCTCAGTGGAGTCATGAATAGCAGATCAAGTTTTCTGTCCCTATTCTTTCCGTCTTTGGGAATTGCCTTAGAGAATCCTATGTGTCTCTTGTTCCCTTGGACGCTAGCAGGGCATGAATCACATCAGTTCTGGGAACTTCTGTTGTTGACATACAGTGCTGTCTAGAAGCTAGGTGTGGTAATTAGCTGTGTACAGTTATCCCATACAGCCTTCAAGTGTGGGTCGAGGCTTCAAGCTCCATAGCATGCTGTCAGTAACCATATGTTGTGTTAAAAAATTAGGATTTAAGAAATTCATTAGTAATTGGCTGGGGCTGACTGTTACTGTTAATACTGATGTGTGCATATGTTTTCCCCTATATAACTATTAATCCTGATTCCAGGGCTTGAACGCTGCCTTGTTTTATGAGAATAAGGATCCCCGCACTTTTGTTTCTCTTGTACCTACCTCTGCTCACACAGGGGATGGCATGGGAAGTCTGATAGCTCTTCTCGTTGAACTAACGCAAACTATGCTGACCAAGAGGCTGGCCGAGTGTCAGGAGCTGAGAGCTCAAGTCATGGAGGTAAGGTTGGAAGGGACCTTAAAGCTCATCCAGTTCCAACCCCCTGCCATGGGCAGGGACACCTTCCACTAGACCAGGTTGCTCCAAGCCCCGTCCAACCTGGCCTTGAACACTGCCAGGGATGGGGCAGCCACAGCTCCTCTGGGCAACCTGTGCCAGGGCCTCAGCACCCTCACAGTAGATTCCTCCCTGCCCTTCCCCATTCTTCCTGGTTAAAAAAAAATGT